TGGCTTTTCTCTTTCCCTGAAGGTCAGGTGCTGGGATCCTATTGGAGCCTGGCAACCACCACTCCCCATCTCTTCCCTGCTTTCTCCTTGGCCCTTTACCCCAAAACTCGCACGTGGAAAACTAGGAAGCAACGTCAACAAAAATAAAACTAAAAATAAAAAAAAGAAGAAATCTGCTTCCCATTGTGGAGAGGGGGAGGGGCAGAGAAGAATCTAGAGACTTGCTTGCTCGACGTCTTCCCACCAGCCCTCTACTCATTTTTATCATCAAGTGGTTAAGGAGGGCCCAGGAAGGCCCAGGGTGCCTGAGCCAAGACAGCAGGCCCTGTGCCCGAACCTCGGGCTGACTTAAATAACCGCCTAATGGATCCAGAACTTTCCCCAGAGAGGCCGGCCCAGTGCACCACCTAAGCCCTTCTGATGTCCAGGGCTGTCATTCTGGTGGCCCGGCCCGAAAGGCGCGGGGTCAAGAGACGGACCAGCCTGATCCTGCGCCTGGACCCGCGGGCACCGGAGGGGTATGCAGGCTGCGGGGCTTCAGCCTCCCCACCGTCGAAAACCGACAGCCTGGAGCCCTGCTGCTCTGGATGGGTGACTGGGGAGAGACCCACTTCTCAGGTCTTCAGCCACCGTCCCCGCCTCGCAAGGAGTTGATCAGGCAGGCCCGGCCACTGGTCTGGAAGCCTCGCCGGCCAGAGCGTTCCCTGACCCTGTTGCCACCGGTCTTCACTGAGCCGGAGGCAGGGCCTGGGAACGGTGCAAAGCCAGACCTAGGGGTCGCTGCGCGGCCGAAGTGGAACTCCGCCCGGGCGGTGTCCTGGCTCGGGTCTGGGAGCCCTGTGCTCAGTAAGGACCCCCACTCAGGGACCCGCGGCACTTGGCCCCCATCGCCGGCGCGACCCCGCGGAGCTCAGCAGGGGCAGTTGCCGGGACCCTTTGGCTGGAAGGCCCGGACCCTCTGTGCGCCGCAACTGGGACGTGGGCCTCTGGGTGCCCTCGTGTGTGTGTGTGTGTGTGTGTGTGTGTGTGTGTGCACGGCGCTTGTGTGCAGACTAGGCTCCGGAGGGAGGTGACTCTGGTGGGCTGAGGAGAGAGTGCCCGGGGCTGTGTACCGGGCGGGGCGGGGGGGGGGCGGGGGG